GCGCGCTCGCGCGCGCGTGCAGTACAGTCCAGTCAAGCCGCCGAAACAAGGACCGCTCTGGGCTCAGGAGGGGCCCGGATTTTTGTGCCGTTCCCTGGGTCCAGGTCGGGGAACCTATATGTTGCCGAGGCTCGCCGTGGCCAGCACGACCGCTGTAGGGGCGCCGCTCCCGCGAAGAGCCCCCGGGAGGAAGTTTCGTGCTCGCGGTTTGGGGTTTGCACACGTTCTCGTCGGTTCTCGGCGGCTTTCCAGCCTCGGGATGTTTCTCAGCGCCGACGCCTCGCCGCGACCGTGCCGGGGATGTCTGGGTCGTCCCGAACGGCGGTCAGAGTCCCAAGCTATGGCCAGCAAAACCACCATGGGGGGGGGTCGCGCGTGTCGGAAGGGGGTCAGTGGAGAGGGAGCGAGGGCTGCCAGGAAAAGGACCCCCCGGGGGGCCCCGAAAACGCACGGAATGTCCTCCTCTCCCTCCTCTTTTTCTTCCTCCTCCTCCTCCTCCTCCATCCAACTCTATGCCTTATAGATAACCCGTACCTGTCGCACCCCGAGGCCGGTCGAAAGGGCGGGCCGGGCGTTTCGCCTGAGACATCACCAATGATGACCCTGAAACTTCAACATTGGCAACAGCTTTACAGATGGATTGCGGGTCTGTTTTTAAATGTGGCGTTCGTCTCAGCGCCGAAGTACACATTTGTTTTAAACATTTGCAACAATGTTACGGATTGAGGGCGAGTTTACGAAATGTGGTTCTCGCCATAGCGCCGCGCACCTTCGTTTCAACATGTGCCAGGGCTTCGCGAAATGAGGGCGGGCCGTTTTCAAAATGTGGTCATCGCCCTAGTGCCGCGCACACTCGCATTATGAATTTGCGAGAGTTTCATAGATTGAGGGCGGGCCGTTTTCAAAGTTTGGCTCTCGCCTTAGCGCCTCGCGCATTCGTTTGCTCATTTGCCAGAGTTTCGCGGATTGCGGGCGGGTCGTTTTCAAAATGGGGCTTTCGCCCCAGCGCCGCGCACATTCGTATCCTGAATTTGCCCGAGTTTAACGGATTGAGGGCGGGCCGTTTTCAAAATGCAGTTGTCGCTTCAGTGCCGCGCACATTCGTTTCAACATTTTGTTCGGGATCTTGAGTGATTCGGACGCCATCAACTCACGACATGTTTGCTGGCCTTTTGTTCGGGTTGCGTTGGAGGAAAATAACCCCAATCTACGCTCTCCTCACGCATCCGCGTAACCTCCGCCATGGTAGCGGGGAGCGTGGTTCTGCGGTGGACTACGCAGATCAGATCCAGGGGAAGACTGTGGACGTGCGCTGCCCATGGCAGCGGCGCCCAGAGAGCAGCTGGTGGATTGCAGAGGCGACATCAAGCTGCCAGAGTTCAGTGGCAGAGACGAGGACTGGCCCAGCTGGTCCATCAAAGCCCACGCGTTCTTCGCGCTGATGGGCTGGGATGACCTCAGCGTCGAGGCCCAGCCAGCACTCGCGGTGGACAGCGTCAGCATGGGCGAGCGCGCGGCAGCGACGAGCAAGCTGCTGCATGCCATGCTGATCACCAAGACCCAGCGCAAGGCGCTGGCGATGGTTACGCTCGCGGGCAGGCGCGAGGGTTTCGTCGCCCGGCGGGCGATCCAGAACGAGTACGAGCCTGGGGTGGGCAACAGGTTTGCAGCCATGCCCAGCGGCCTGCTCAACCCCAGGTGGGATGACCAGAAGCCGTTCGCTGACCAGCTCGTTGACTGGGACAACGACGTGGCCAGGTACGTCATGCAGGCGATGAGTTTCGCATCGCCGCGCCGCTCGTCCATGGCCCCGGGCCGTGCGAGATCGCGCTGCGCAAACGCTCCGACGGCCGCCGAGGTCTCGCACGTGGCGTTGAGGACCCACCAGAGACTGTGGATGGCGTCTGGACAGGTCTTCGCGGCTAGCGGCACGGTGGGCCAAGGCGTGGCGCCAACGGAGATCGGTGCGATATCAGGCCATGCCCCGCCCCAACAGCCTTGGCCCCAACGCAAGGGCGACGGGTCAGGGGGCGGCGAGGGCGACAATATGGGCGGCAAGGGCGACAAGGGCGGCAAAGGCAGCAAGAAGGGGGTCAATAATGACAAGCTCAAAGGCAGCTACCCCGCCAAGTTCGAGGGGCCCTGCAACTGGTGCCAGAAGCAGGGGCGCAAGGAGAAGGGCTGCCGGCACAAGGCGGCTGGGAAGCCACGGGCGCCGTCGGCAGCGCCCCCGAAGGCGGCCGCAGTCCAGCGGGCACCTGCGGGCGCTGAGGGCCAGAGGGCCGTGGGCGCGGCGGCCGCGGGCTCCGACGGCGACGAGGTCGGCTGGGTCTTTGGAGCCAGGAGCTCGGTCGGAGGCTGCCGCAGGGAGCAGCGCAGAGGGGTCGTCCTCGCAGACAGCGGCAGCGACGAGCACCTCTGCGGCCGGGCGTTCGGGGCGCAGCATCCGACAGTTCAGCGGGGCCCCACTGCGCCCAAGCTCACCGCGGTGTGCGGCCAGAGGTTTGGTACCGAAGGGGCCCCGTGGGATCCCGATGGTCGTCGGCGGCGAGAAGGGTCGCCAGCCGCGCTCGCGGGGGCTCAGAGTGAGCAGCGACCTCGCCCCTCAGGGCGCGGGGCTCAGCCTCGGGAAGCTGGCGCGCAAGCAATTCAGGTTTGTCCTCGAGCAAAGTGACCCGCATGCCGCGGGCCTCAAGACGGGCGAGCGGGCGCGCTCTACTTCGCCGCGCAGATCCACGACGCGATGGGCTGAGCCGAGCTCGCAGTCTGCCTTGCCAGGGTCGCCGCAGCAGGTGCCACAGGAGCTCCGCGGGGGACGGTGCGAGGGGGGGATCCTCCGCCACGCCCAGGGGCTCGAGGGTCGCGTAACCCAGCCCCGCCAGAGACCGGAGCTGCGCCACCGCATGCGCAGGAGGCGGCGGCGCCGCCTAGGGCGCAGGAGGCGGCGGCGCCCGCGCAGGACCAGGAGCCACCTGCGGCGGCGCAGCCGCCGGGGCGGTCATACCTCGAGGGGCTTGGGCCAAGCTCGAGGGCCGACGCCATGCAGAAGCGCCTCAAGGAGATCCACGCCCCGTACTACGGGACCAAGGCTCATCGCAGGGCGCGGCTCGTCGGGCACAAGCGCAGGCGCAAGGTGGGGGCGGCGACGGATGACTTCCGCGAGCTAAGGCGCGAGGAGATGAGGCGTCGGGCGGAGACGGGGCAGGTGCTGGAACCGACCGCCTTTCCCGGCGTCTGCGAGCCGACGCCAGAGGAGAGACAGCGCCACGAGGAGAACCAGCACTGCCCACCGCGGCGCTGGTGTGAGCACTGCCAGATGGGGCGCGGGCGTGACAGGCCCCACGAGCTGCTAGACGCGGAGGTGGACCGCCCCCCCGTGATCGGGCTTGACCTGGCGTTCTTCAATGGCGAGGCGGCCGACGCCGTGAAGGCGGACCCCCCTCGCCGAGGATGGCCGGAGACAGGGCGAAGAGGTGGTGCTGGTGGTCGAGACAGGAGGCAGACACGGGTGTCACGTGGAGCGCCCCGAAGCCCGACCGACGCGCCGATCCTTGCACGGCGGCAGCCACGGTGGCGTTCATAAAGAACCCTTTCCATCATAAGTTCATCCTAAGGCCGGATCACGAGGGCCAACAAGGTCGAGGCAGAGCTGCCCAAGCGTGAAGGTCGTGAGACCCGCCCCCTCCGTTTAGCTCCCAGTCGCATCCCTCCGAGAACGCAAATGGTATCATCCAGGCGCAGTTCCGCACGAGCAGGGGCGCGCTGGAGGCACGACTGGGGGCCAGGGTCCGACCAGGCACGGCCATGCACAAGCGCTTGCAGCGCCACGCGGGCTGGGCATGCACCAACCTGAGGATCAAGGCGAGCGGTCGCGCGGCACATGGGGACCTCTACGGCCGCGCCTACACCAGGGGGATGGTCACCCCAGGGAGTCCGTCTTGGCGCGCCTACCCAGGGGCAGGAATCGCAGGGCGAGAGGCAAGGTGCACCTCATGGGCGACATGGGCTTCGCGAGGGCGGTGTGGCTAGGGAAGAGCCACGACACCGACGATCATATTTTGCGCGCTCGAGACGGGCGAGCTGGTCACGACGAGGACCGTCAAGAGGCTGCCCAAGAGCGGAGGTTGAATCGCATCGCCATGGCGGCGATCGCGCACATGCCATGGCAGCGCCGAGGACAGGGCGCGGTCCCGCGCGGGATCGAGCCGGTTGTTGCACCCCCTGCCGCAGCGGACGCCGACCTGGAGGCGCAAGAGGCAGCTGGGGCACAGCCAGGCCCGAGCGCTGCTGCCCAGTCCACTGGGGTCGCCCATTGCGGCGGGCCAGCTGCCCAGACGGGCGCGCCCATGGCGGCGCCCATGGCGGCGCCCGCAGCCGATGCGTCGGGCGGCGCCGAGGCGCCTGCTGGAGACAGGCAGGCGGGGCCCGCGGCGCAGACGTCGGCTGGGGGCGGCGCTGGGGGCGACGCCCCCATGGCGCGTGGGCTGCGTTTCCGGCGAGCGCGCCTCCGCTGACGCCCCCGATAGGTCGATCGCCGGTGCGACCCGCGGAGGAGGGTGGCAACCGAGGCGCCCCTGCGAGGTGCCGAGGTAGCGGTGTAGCAGCTGATCATTGCGAGGACGTTCGGCCTGGCTTCCTGCAGATCCTTTGGGACATGGATGTCCCTGATCCCCACGATGCGTCGGGCTCTCAGTTGATCGAGGCCCCCACCAAACGGGCCCTCGACGGCCTGAATCAGCACGGGGTGGGCAACCTCGACAAACGGAGCAAGGCCGCCGGCGAGAGGATCAGCGCCCGCTGGGACCGCGTCTACAAGTGGGACGCGAACCTCGGATGGAGGATTGCCAAGTCAAGGTGCGTCGCGCGGTAGTTCAAGTGGCAGGAGCATCGCGACGACCTTTTCGCGCCAGGGAGCAGCATGGCCGATAGCCGAGTGGTGGACTATGTGACTCTGCAGCACGGATGGCCCGCTTTCGCTGTTGATGCGGAGGACGCGTACT